ATTTTTGTTGATACAATTTTATTGACCAGCATCTAAACCAATCAGTCGTTAGATCAGGTGAGGTGCCAATCACTTCCTAGCATGCATCAGCTCGCTCCATAAGGATTATCTCTGACAACGTTTGCATACTTTAAGAGCAAGTAGGGATCGAACTGAACAGAACTCAAGGTTCACCTGGAACAAGCCTGTTAATATGCATGTAAATAGGAGTTAGAGGTAGTGTCGCCATCCATTTGTCGACATAAACATGCATCTGCTGCCACACTAGATGAGTTTCTATCTAAATTTAGAGTCAATTTTAACTAAACTTTAGGAAATGCTGCATAACAAAAAGAAACACCTTTTTGTATTTAGCATGATCATGTCAATATCAGTACGGCTGCAATCAACCAACAAAAAACTTGCTTGACTGAAACCGTACCTACTCCTACTTAAAAAAACAAAAGTTACCCTGAGATGAACTAAAGCGACTGAGCACACGCTACCTGCCGGCCTCATTAGCCTCAATTCATTGTAAATACACAAAAGAAAAGCTACTATTTGCAGCATGTCGACTGAGATGCTGATAACAGACTTATTTCTGATCATTTCATAACCAAATGTGTTCCCATTGTTTTTGTCATATTTCGTTACTATTTCTCCAAATCTTGTAATGAACTTACTTACTGCGATACTTACACTGATGATACCTGTGTTGGGGTTTTAGGGGTTTTACAGCAAACTACCAAAAATCTCACCTGACTAGGCATCACCTTCCTGATGCTCATGAACGGTCCGTCGAACAGCTGGATGACTCTCTTGTTGCTGTCTATGGTGAGACAGACGCTGGTCCAGGCACTTGGCGGGAGGCCGGGCCAGATTCTGATGTTGGGTTGCAGTTTGACAACGGTGGAACAGTAATATTTTACCTCATACGAAGTGGGGTAATTGACTCCAAGGCTCAGAAATCTGCCGGATGGACTGAGTGTGAAGATTGTGGGCCTTTTTTCATCCAGATAGTCGATCATGAAACGCAGACACACTGACACACCTGCAGGGTTCAGATGGAGAGCGTCAGCTCACAAACTTACCAAAGCTAAGAAAAGAACAGTTTGGGTTGAATTAGTCCATGAGTTTTTTCTTTTCTTTTTTCTTTTTTTTTTTTAAAGGAGAATACACAACAAATGCACAATACATACAACACACAACAGAAGAAAACCTGTGCAACAATGTATTGCGTAAGACATGGGTGTATGGCAACAAAGACAAAGGAACTACAAACACAACTACAAAAATCTATCACAAAGAGACAAAAAAACTGACCACAATAAAAAAACAAGACACCCCCAAACAGTCACAAATACCCTTTTCAGACACGCACTCTGTTTAGTTAACCCTGTCCAGGACTTTCATGTTTCCATACGTAGAAGGTCTTTCGGGGTCCATTGGACCCCAAGAAAGAATATGTGCAAAGTATTTGTTGGTATTCATCATAGACTTTTATACTATGTTAAACACATTTTCTGATAAAAAAAAACAACAACAAAAAAACACCCATGAAATGAAACAAAACAGCCACAACTTGATGCATAACAACTACAATGAGACACATAATAAGCATAAAGAAACAGAATACAACTACAGAGACAAAAACAAGAACCACAAAATGGCCACAAAGGGAGAAATAAAAACGACCAAGTGACACTCAAAGAGCCATGAAGTAAAACAAGCAGGCCGCAGAAAAGTGTAAAACACCGACAGAGGCAAAAAATAACCATCGACCACGAAGAGGCATCAAACATCCACGGAGACACAAAACGACAACAAGATGACAAACACTCACAAAGAGACTCAATTAACCATAAGAGACAAAAAAGCCACAAAGAAACACAAAGAGTTGCAAAATGTCAAGAAAGAGATGCAAAACATCCACAAAACGACCGCGAGGAGACGCACAATACCAGAAAAAGACAAAATAACCACAAAGAGACACAATTCTGCCCATATTGTCCAAAATATGATGCTACAAACAAAATTTTCACATTTTGCAGTTTTAAAAAACAAACAAATACACAAACAAAACACTATTAAAAGTGAAAATTTTGACCAAAACAGATTTTAGATCCTGGCTTGTGTTGCTGTGTTTAATCTGTGCTTTTCTTTTTTTCTTTTTAAAATTTCTTCTATTTTACATTAAGACTAAAAAGTCTCTTCTTTAAAAGAGATGATGGCTTTTATCTGTACGGTTCATGTGTTTATCACAGAGTAGGTTGCATAATGTTGATTACAGTTGCTCAGAAAGATTCATCATACAAGTCAGAGTCTGAATAATAAATACAGCCGAAGACAACAGACACACACTATCAGAATAAACACGTATAGAGTTATATTTGTACAATATATTCAAATATTTGTGAATGTACTCACCTCTCGTGGGAGCTGCTGTGGTCCAGGGAGGGTATGACGGGGTTGTGTAAGGGCGGCGGGTAGCGATGATGGGACCACTGCTTTTTTCGCGTTGGGTTTTAGGTGTCAATGACAAGGAGGAGATGGAAAAATAAGGATGATAGAGAGTTACTCCTGACGAAAAACGAGCCAAAGTGAACATCTTCCCGTTGAGACTTAGTCCAGCAGGCGCTGCAGAAAAAACACAAAAAGTCACAAACAAGCTTGATGTGAACTCTTAGCAGCAGCTCCATCAGGACTCACAGCTGATAGTGAGACGCTGCTTGAACTCTGGGAATCAGCTGCTGTTTGAAGCTCTTCAACTCATGGGGCAGAAAGGGGATAAGAAAATGTACAGAATATTGCTTTTCCACCTGGAAGGGAAGGAAATGGAAGATATATGATCACACCTGTGAACTGGAAGCTGCTTCAGCTACATCTTTGACTTGTTCACATCCTTCTTTCCTTCCGTTCTTCTTGCCTTTCTTCCTTTTCTCCTTTCCTTCATTCTTTCCATTTTTTTTCTTCTTTGTTTCCTTATTTCCTTACTTTATTCCTTCCTCCCTCCCTTCTTTCCTTCATGCCTGACTTTCTTCTTTCTTTTATTTATTTTATTTTATTTTTAAAAAAATTTTCCTTTATTTAACCAGGTAGATTAATTGAGAACAGCTTCTCATTTACAATAACGACCTGGCCAAGAGGCAGCACAGAGCAGAAAATACAATACATCCATAAGAAAACAATACACAAACAAAACGTAGCAATAAAAATCTTTGAAGATAAAATACACTAAAAGCAGGTACAGGACTCGATAAAAAGTTGCTTCACCATATTTTTAAAAGAGGATACAGGTATAAGTACACTGAGTTTGATTGTTTTTTGTCAGTGGTTCCAGTCGAGGGCTGCAGAAAATTGAAATTAATAGCGGCCAAAGACAGTGCAGGCTTTGGGGATGAGGAGGTGGATGAGGTTGCTGTTGCGAAGTGAGCGGCTGATGTGACGGGTGATAAGTAGTGAACGTAGGTATGCCGGAGTTAGGCCTATGATAGTTTTATAAATGAACAAATACCAATGGGTTTGCCTGCGGGAGTGAAGAGAGGGCCAGTTAACTAGGCTGTACAGAGTGCAGTGGTGAGTCGTGAAGGGGGCATCAGTGACAAAATGGATGGCAGTGTGATAGATAGTGTCCAGTTTATGGAGGAGGGATTTGGATGTGGATCTATAAAGCATGTCACCATAGTCAAAAATCGGAAGTACTGTCATTTTGACCAGGAGGTGTTTAGCGGATCGTGTAAAGGAGGATCTATTACGATACAGAAAACCAATTCTATTTTTGACTGTAGTGAGCAGAGAGTTGATGTGGGTTTCAAAAGAGAGGCAGGGGTCGAGCCAGATACCTAAATACTTGTAGTTGTTGACGAAGTCGATTATAGATCCATCCAAGGAGATGATGTTAATTGGGGACTGGATCTGTGGGAGGTTTTTATTGAAGATCATACGTTTTGTTTTTTTTGTGTTTAGTGATAACAGAAGGTCAGAGAAGGCATGTTGGATGTTACTGAATGCAGTTTGCAGATTGGACAATGCATCATTGAGAGAGGGGCCAGATGTATAAACAATGGTATCGTCGGCGTACAGATGAATGTGGGCGTTGTATACAGCATGGGTTATGTTGTTAATGTTAATGTTGAATAGTGTTGGGCCCAGTATGGAACCTTGGGGGACACCTTTGTGAAGAGGTAGTGGGGCCGAGAGAAGACCCTCCATCCTTATGGTCTGTAAGCACCCAGAACAGTAGCTACTGAACCAGGAGACACAGGTTTCAGAGAGACCAATATTTCTTAGCCTTTCCAGCAAGATGGGGTGGTCAACAGAGTCAAAAGCTTTAGACAGATCAACAAACACAGCAGCACTGTATTCCTTGTTGTCAAGGGCACAGATAATGTCATTAACCACTTTCATCGTGGCAGTGATGCAACTGTGGCCTGATCTGAAGCCAGACTGTAGAGGGTTGAAGGCTTTGTAGGTTTCTAGATGGCCTACAAGCTGTTTGTTGACAAGTTTTTAAAACACTTTGGCAAGGCAGGGCAAAATGGAAATAGGTCTGTAGCAGTTCAGGTCAGCATTGTCTCTTCCTTTGAATAGTGGGACAACAGCAGCAGATTTCCAGTCCTGAGGGAAAATTCCTGTTTGCAGCGAGAGGTTAAACAAGTCACAAATAGGAGGAGCAATAACATGGGCACCAGCTTTTAAAAAGATTGGGTT